TTTTGTCATCTTTAATTTCTCGGGTTAGTGATTGAATTTGATGGGTTTTGCTTCGGATTTAGAGATTGTGCACTTTAGGTTAGTGAAATTAGAGAATTCTTGATTCTAATTGATTTCATATCTGTTAGGTTTGTGAGGTTTTTTTGGTCTTAATCTTAATGCTAAGTCTTAATTTCATGAATGTGAATTATGAAAGGAATGAACAAGATACATTTATGAGTAGTAGATTATGAACAATTAATGCTTTTATCAAACTTTGATTAACCTAATCACTTGGTTTGTGACAAAAATTTGTACCTTTTTATAGACATGTAAGTTAATTCTTTACTTGAATTTATTAGCATGAGATTAACTCTCAAGATTCTTATGTTTCTGCAGCTAACTGCAACCCGTCTGTTCCTGCGTGGGAGAAGGATTTCTGTGCTGTGGTTGGTTCAGTTCCATGGTGGAAAGTTGTAGAGGCGAAGCGGTTTATGTATCTATACGATAGAGTGGTTCAATGGGACGATTCAGCGGGCAAAGACGCTTTCAAGAAAGCTAAATCTCGGTTTTGGGCGGAGATGAATGGGTTTCCGTGCGACTTATCTTTGCCTGATCCTGATGTCTACATTGATGATGTTGATTGGGATGCTCAAGTTGACACCGAGCTGATTCTTGACCTTCAACGTGGTCCAGACCCGATAACAGAAGAAGAAAAAGAGCATGTTGTGATTCTTGATGCTTTGGTTTTATCTGGACAGTACAGCGGGTTAGGTTGGGGAACGGGATGGGGAGACGCTGAAGGGGTTAATGAGGAGATTGTCGGAATGGGTAAACCGGAAAACTCGTGGGAAGATCAGAAATGTGATGGATGGAACGAAGAGATTGTCAGAACGGGTAAACCGGAAAACTCATGGGAAGATCAGAAATGCGACGGATGGAATGAGGAGATTGTCAGAATGAGTAAACCGGAAAACTCTTGGGAAGATCAGAAATGTGATGGATGGAATGAGGATTCATGGGGAAGAAAGGAGAAAACCGGAACTTGGGATCATAAGAAGAACAACAACAGCTTCAAAACCGAATCATGGGACCATAAGAACAACAAGAGTACCAACCACAAGAAGACTGAGGATTGGACCTGTAAGGATCAGGGAAGAGAGTGGAGAAAGAGAGGAGAAGTACCGCGTAATGGAGATCGAGTGGAGGATTGTCGATGGAGGAACGGGAGAGGGAGAAGCAGAGGCGGGTTTCAGCAACATTCGAATGGTTGGGGTTGGACTGAATCATTCTGAATCAC